TTCTATATAGAAACCTGTAGACCTGGGTTTCCCAAAAAAGGTAATAACATCTTGGGGGAGTATAAAGTGTAAAGATGAGGTGTGGGGGGGGGTCACCGAGGAAAGTTGGAGGTGTAAGGGAGGGTGATTAGAAAAGTAGGGGTTAATTGAGTAATATTAAATGCTTGAGGAACATATATGCATTCCAGAGAAGAAAATAATATATACAAACTGATGGTTTTATTTTATCTTGTTATCTAAAGGTAAGTGTGAAAGTTTGTATCTTGCTGATGTTATCCTGAGAGAACATATCAGACATCCAACACCTGCAGGGGGCTAATTCTTTAGGTTTCTAGGTGGAGTGATATAGCTATGGATAGTTGTCTGGCAATTTCTATACTAATGGCTTCTAAGAAAAGCTGAAATGGATGTGTATTTACAGTGTTAGAGTAGTTTTTGCAGTATTCATAATGAAAATGTGTTTTCATATAGGTGTGGAAGTGGAGTCAATCATTACCTATCCTCATAATCCTCACTTTCTACTTCCTACTTTTACATTTGTATCATGCACTTCATTCAGTAACACTCTGCACTGAGTGGCTCTTGAGCCTTGTATTGGGTGAACACTAGTGTAACAAACACCTCATATGATCTTGTTTTTGACTGAACTTAGTAAATATTTATACAGCTGTAGAGTGTTAGAAAGCTAGTTTAACAGATCATTGCTAATTCCTTTCAAACCCAGTGCTCTATGAAAAATGGCCTTATATTAAATTGAAATTCTATAAATATATTTTACTGACCAATGCACTAACTCCTGTATTACGAGCAGAGCAACCAATTAAGGTATTTTTTTAATATGCAAAAACACTTGTGCATATGGCTCGTTAAAGGCCTTGTCCTCCCTAACAATTCAATGACTTATTTACTGGTCCCAACCATCCCTCAGCTTTTATTGTTATGTTGATGGGTGATGACCACCCTTACCCTTACCCCCACTGCTGTTCATATAATCCAGATAAAGCTTTATAGCACTCTGAGGAGGAAAAAGATCTGCACACTGATCCTTGGGAGTGAGTCAGGCAGAAGCCATTCTAGTTATTGTTAAAGATTGCCCCTCAACTAACCATCTGCCCCCCCCCCCGTCATTTTTTTTCCCCTTCCTTGATCTGATGCTTAAAAGAAGTTGAGCTGTAGACCACAGGAAGGATTCAGCTTGTGCCAAGAGATGGCTTTGGAATCAACTCAACAGCAACCCTTTCCTTGTCAAAGTTAAAGTGAGAAAAAAAGAGACTGAGATTGGGTTGAGATAAATGGTTTAGGTAGCAGTAAAAGGGGTGAGGATGTGTGTCTGTCTGTTGTGTGTGTGTGTGTGAAGGCAAAATGCTCTTGGTAGTTGTGTTATCTTTCTTTTTTTCCCCACTCTTCTCTAAACTAGTCCTAATGACATTCTTTTCAGTTTTTCACTCTTATTGAAGTTATTGGGGTCGGGTGGTGCTGGATTTAAGCCTAGAGATTTTATATCAGTTTGCTCTTTCAGCCATTTTGTATCTTTTTTATTTTATTGTACACCTCCTCCTCCTCCTCTTACTTAACAGTTATTGCTTTTTATATTGACATAAAATCTAGGTTTACATTACCAACTACCTTTTCTTCAGTCAATTATGTGTGTGTGTGTGTGTGTGCGTGCGCATATATATATATATATATATATATATATATGAAAGAGAGATGTATGTGTAACTATATGTCTATATATATATATGTGTGTGTGTGTGTAGTGTGTGTCTATATATACATGTCTATGTGTGTATGTGTATATTTATATGTATTTTTATATATATATATGCGGCACCTTTGGAGAGTGCCTGAAAGACACACCATGGGTTGACCCAAGGTTTGTAAGTGAAATTGGGTAGACAGAACTGTCTGTGTGTGTGTATATATATATATATATATATATATAAAATGTCTCTCACTCTCATATATATATATATATATATATATATATATATATTTATATATATAAAATGTCTCTCACTCTCACATATATATATATATATATATATATATATATATATATAAAATGTCTCTGTATATATATATATATATATATATATATATATATATATATAAAATGTCTCTCACTCTCACATATATATATATATATATATATATATATATATAAAATATTCTCACTCTCACATATATATATATATATATATATATTAGAACACTCATATATATATATATATATATATATATATATATATTTGTGTGTAAATAATATATATATTTAGAACACTTATACTTTGCATCAGACAGGCAGTTGAAATAAATAGGATACATAATCAAGAAAGAGGGCTTAGATAATTTGACACTCACAGGACATTGATGGTAACATGAACAGAGGATAGCAATGCATAACCTACTTAACAAGCTTATGTAAAATGTATGGCAGAACGGAGGAGTTTAGGAGTAATAGCAAAATGATAAACTGTATTAAGAGCTACAAAGGGATACAAAATTGTGGAGAGCCATAATTGATCATGTCTTGAAGAAACATGGCACTAGCAAGAAAAATATAAAAAAAAAGTCAGATATTATTTTTTTCCCCTTGAATTGATAGACACCTGAAGAAGGCTGAATGCCATAATGGCTGAAACTTTATGACAACAGCTAAGAGAAGGATATTAGTATGAATGTAAATAATAAAGATTAGAATTGGAAATTTCCATGACTGTTCTTTGGGAAAAGATGGTGGAATGGTTACTTTCTCCATGGTAAGAAGAAAAGGATTCCAGGGGTTTTCTTAGGTATTAGCATCAATTCAGTACAACAATCTCAACCAGAATTTGAACTTTGTTTGTTGATGCTATTTTCTTCATCCATAACAATTACACCACCTGTAAAGTTGGAGATTGATGATATAGTTGAAATTCATTTTCATGAAACAGTTCTATATATAATATGGTGTATATTTAAGAATATTGGAACCATTCTTGAATACCTACCCCCCACACATTAACTGTATTGTTAGAAGTGTCAGTCATGCATTTGAGCTCTCTTAATTCTGGCATTAAAAAAAAGGGTGTTGATAAATTGGAGTAAAAAGTGACAGTTGTCAGAAAAATGAGCAAGCCATGTAATCTGTGCTGATAAAAATGTCTGTCAGCAGCAGTTATTTATGCATTTAGACAACATTTTGATCTACAGGGTGGTCCGAAAGTCTTGTCACACCCTACCAAAAAAAAAAAAAAGTCATGAGAACAATAGAAGAACAAGTAATACAGTAATACAAAGCACATGTACTGGATTCAGTTTATTCACTTTCATTGATGCTGTCACATTAAGAAGGTCTGTATGAATGCCATTATTTTCATGGCACAAAACGATGCAGCACCATGTCCTGGATGATATTTTACAAAGCTGTGCTTTGTTGATTGTTGCATAGGTTCTTCGAACACTGTCCTTCAACAGATGGGTACTATTCAAGTAGCATTCGTGTGAGACACTCTCTTTGATAATACCCCACAGAGCGTTGCTATATTATGTTGGGGTGACAAGACTTTTGGACCATCCTGTACTTTGAATCAAAAGAGTCTATTTTTATGGATGGACTTTTTATTTTGGTGGAAAGATAAAATAACCTTATTCTAATTAAGTCATATTTATTTTTTGTGTGTGAGATATATATGTGCACACACATACATACACAGAAACAGACATGCAGGTAGGTATGTAAGTTGAATCAATAAGTTTGTAGCCTGACACATTAGTTGAATTTTAGTTTGAAATTTTATTCTCTACTGAATTAAGTGCCCTGACAAGGAAGGAAATATTTTTTGGGAAAAAAAAATGCCCATTTTCTTCAACTTATTGATGTACCTGTGTACATAAGTGTATACCTGGTTTTGAGTGTGTATACATATATATTCAGTTAAACAAAACAAAAAACAATTCTTAATGATGGCTAATAGATTAAGTAAATGTACTCAGAGACAGATAATTTTGACAGTTTTTACACACTCTGTGAAAATGAAAAGAAATCACTTGTGTAAATGCAAGAAAAATATAATAAAAAGCTTAATCACAATGACTTGTCAGTTGCCTTCAATCAATCTTGTATAAAAGAGAGCTTGCTTCTCAAATACACAATTCTTTCTGTCTATATCTACACACACACATGCGCACACACACTTGTATATATTATTACTACATAAATGTTATATTTAATGGGTACATGTGTCTGAGTAAACATCCCTGGTTCTTGAACTGTGAATGTTGACTGGTCTAGAGATTGAATATTTAAATAAAAAGAATGCGCCTCACAATTTCTTTCAGATTTTGGTCTATAGGCTGGCAGACATTAATTTCACTGGTAAAAACAAAAAAAAAGAAATAGTTGCTGTCTACTACGACACAAATATAATGTTTATTAGAAGAAGAAATAATGTTTGATTAAAAGAAAAAGAATTCTATTAATAGTTTGAAAATTACATTCACACACACACACTATTGGGAGATTTCTGTCAGAGTAAACTAAACTTAGGAAATACCTAGTAATATATTTTCATGTACTGTTTCCTTAGTATTCCAAAAGGTTAGTGGCTTTTTTTTAATGTCATTTTCTCTGTATGCAATCTAAACTCTTTGGTTATTGTTAATTATTGTTGTGTTGAAGAGGAGAGCAGGAGAATGGCTGCTGCACTTGACACCCTCAAAATATTCTTTGAGTGATAATCACTTAACTGAAATATTATGAAATTATGAGAACACCATTTAGATCTTGGTTGGAGATGAAGAGATTTTGTTGCTTTATTTTCTTTAATGATTAAATTAAAAAAAAAAAAATCCTATCTCTTTTTTATTGATGGAACAAGTTTCAAGTCTTTTTTATTATTATTTCTCAAATCTTAAAAAAAAAATTTTTTTCCCCCAAATCAAATACAAAAGGACAAGTTATTACTTTTAAAGATATTGAATTAATGTTTTGAGTTGTTTCAGACTTTGTCTTATGAATGAGTAAATTATCTTTTTTTTTACCTTCAATTTTTTTTTTGACTTGCAAATATTCTTTTTGCTTTGTTCTCTTCCTTTCTCTCATCGCTTTTGCCTCTCTCTTTCTCTCATCGCTTTTGCCTCTCTCTTTCTCTCATCGCTTTTGCCTCTCCCTTTCTCTCATTGCTTTTGCCTCTCCCTTTCTCTCATTGCTTTTGCTTCCTCTTTTCCTTTCTCATCGCTTTTGCTTCCTCTTTTCCTTTCTCATCGCTTTTGCTTCCTCTTTTCCTTTTGTCTGTTTTTCACTTTCATCTTTCTCACCTCCATTTCTCTCCCTTTCGTTTCTCTCTCTCTCTCTTTCCTTTCTCCTTTTGCTTTCTCTTTTCTCTCATCTTTTCCCTTTCTCTTTTCTCTTTCTCTCTTTTCTTTTCTTCCTTCGTTTCCTCTCTTTTTCTTTTCTCTCTCTCTCTTTCCCTTTCGTTTTCTCTCTCTCTCACGTCCCTTCGTTTTCTCTCTCTCTCTCACGTCCCTTTCGTTTTTCTCTCTCTCTCTCCTTTTCCTTTCTCTTTCTCTCTCTCTTTTCTCTCTCTCTCTCTCCGTCCTTTCTTTCTCTCTCTCTCTCTCGTCCCTTTCTTTCTCTCTCTCTCTCTCTCACGTCCCTTTCGTTTCTTCTCTCTCTCTCTCTCACGTCCCTTCGTTTCTCTCTCTCTCTCTCACGTCCCTTTCGTTTCTCTCTCTCTCTCTCACGTCCCTTTCGTTTCTCTCTCTCTCTCTCACGTCCCTTTCGTTTCTCTCTCTCTCTCTCACCACGTCCTTTCGTTCTCTCTCTCTCTCTCTCACGTCCCTTTCGTTTCTCTCTCTCACGTCCCTTTCGTTTTCTCTCTCTCTCACGTCCCTTTCGTTTCTCTCTCACGTCCCTTTCCTTTCTCTCTCTCACGTCCCTTTCGTTTCTCTCTCTCTCATGTCCCTTTTGTCCCTGTCTTTCCTCTCTCCTTCCCTTTCTCTTTCTGTTCTCTAAAGGATTTTTTTTAAAAGTCTTAATTTTTCTTATTTTTATTTTGTAGACTTCTGTGTCTGTCCACTAAAGAAAAAACCTGGCTAGAGAATTTGGATTTCTTTGCTAAAAAAATTGTACGGCTCTTTTCTCTAACAGTAAGTCCTCCACAATTCTTTCTTCAATCTCAAGTAGTTTTCATTATTTTGCTACATATCTTATTATGAGATCTTCAGGTTCAAAGGTCATCAGATTTTTCTTTTTAGTTTTCATGTAATACAAGGACTATATTAATACTAATGTAGAGGTTTACCAAAAATTAATGTTTCTTAATAGGATTTGATAAAAAACAAAAAATGGATAATTAAAAAAAATATATTCTGTGAAACAACATTATAGTAAGAAATATGAATTCATTGTATTTAGATCTGTGGTTCCCAACCTTTTCCTAATTGCTGCCCCCTTAGCACATAGGCCCCATAGCCCAAGAACCCTTCTTAAGAACACCCATATGAAGACTCGTCTTTCTTGATGTTAGGTATATTGCAAATTTAAAACAACTTATCTAACACCAAGCAAACACCCATGACTATATCGCTACACCTACAAACCTAGAAAGTAGGTCCCTGTAGATGTCAGCTGTTTTATCTGCGCTGGTATGTAGTGCATCCACTCTGGATAATATCAACAAGATATTCAGACATTTGAACAACAAAATAAAACTATTTGCTTGTTTATATCTCTTAACTCTTGTTAATTTTATTCTGTATAAAGCATAAGTGACTATGGTTTTGTTGTACAGATTTTGTTGAGTGGTGGGAAGGTGAGGAGGAATTATTACTTGGTTCGAATACTACCTTGTTGCCCACTACCATCCCCTTTTTTTTTTCTTACCACCCACCTTCGTCATTACACTGTCGCCAAGGCAGGAAATACTTGGGAATCTGTTTTGATCGGATACCTTGCAGTAAAAAGGACACCCCATCATGCAATGTAATAAAAATAGATCACAAAACAGGTGATATTCTCTGTATACATCACTAAATGACAATTAGTTCTTAGCACAAATGCAGTGTTTTGAAAATGAATATGTATGTCAAACAACAGGCAATGTAAGTTTCATTTATTAAAGATGTCTAAGAATATTTACAGCAATGGAAGTGTTAATTACATGCTCAAAACAAATGAATTTTTGTGGATAATCATTTTGTATATTTCTCTTGCATTTTGGTGAGGGCAATTACCAAGCAAATTGGCTGTTCTGGGTATGATGATAAACTACATCTGCATCCTGGGTAAGACGATAAACTACGTCCAACAGCAAGGCCTCTAATCAGGAGATTTTGAGGAGTGTGGAACCACCTCTTAATTGCTGGTGTTCCCAGGTCCACCCTGACCTGATGTGGTAGCACCTGTTAGGGTCCCAGCTATGGGCAAATAGTTAACCCACAAACTGGGCTTCAAAATGCTATGAAAGTGTAAAAATAGCTTTTAATACCAGAAATACTTTCTAAAAAGTTATTACCAGCAATAATTTTTTGAAGAAAAAAATTATTACCAGCAATATTTTTGGAAAAAAATATTACCAGCTATACATTTTTGAAAAAAAAAAATTACCAGCTATACATTTTTGAAAAAGGTATTACCAAAAATAGATCTTTGAAGGAAAAAATATTAACAGGATTAAAAATAGTTGGCATTAAATAACCCATTGAAGTTGATGTGCCGTAAAACAAAAAAAAAATAAGCAAGCAAAGTGGCTGGGTTGTGTGTAATTGGGCTAAAATCACCTGCATTGCTAATGCTCAGATAATTAAGAAAGTGCCTGACAGAAGACTTTTAGTAGAATGTGTTTAACTTTTTGCTTCCATTTCTACAATTTTTATTTTCTTTCATTCTTTCTCGTCTTTATGCGAGATCCATAGAAATTCCATCTAATTAGGAGTATAATGAACAAACTTCTAAGAATACAGGTTGTGAGTTCAAATCTTGTTGAAAGTTATTTACTCTGATTTAAATTATTTAATGAGATAGCAAAAAGATAAAAACTTGCTAAGAACTACAAAGGGCAGGAAGTTGTGGAGAGCCATGGTCACCTATGTTCCGAAGGCATATGCACATGGAAGAATTATTTAATAGTCATAGAATGTAAAAATAAATGACATGATAGAAAGAAAAGCCACAATAAAAATGAAAACCATTCAATTTAATTTTATAATGAAAATGCTTTATCAGAGAAACTTGGAAAACTACTACTATTTGAATGTGAAGGTGAGGCAATAGTTAGCAGTTTGTAATAATTCTGGTTAATCTATCTCTTCTCCCTCGGCTATGGGTTAAATAACAGAGCAGACTAGGCTCTTTAAAGATCTTTAGCAACCAGTTTGGGATAAGGGGATCTCTGAATTCAAAACTGTAGGAAGTCTTGGTGAATTACATTCTATGTAGTCATCAAAATGATCTTGAAGTTTATAATGATTAATTATCTTGATTGCAGTCAATGAGGTCAGTACTTCTTGGTAGTAGACACAATATGACTTGGAGGAAGAATGTAGCCATATGAATTTTGCCTGCTGATGATTTTCAAATGTCAAATTAATAAGGTATCATCCATATTTCCAGAGATACAAGTTATATCATTAACAGTTACATTATTTTCTGATCCATCATTACTTAACTGTCATCAATATATAAAATGACTTTAGTGTTGAGACAGAAGTTGCTTGGGATTCAAATATAAAGACCTGAACAGTTGCACAATAGGTTAGGAGAGTCTTACACTATGAGAATAGTTGTAGCTGATACAAGTTGATATCCAATCGACTGTATTACCATGGAAAATGTTGTAAGACCCGAAAACCCTCTTATGATCCTCGGATAAAAACATCACTGATGAAGCGTACCAAAGCATCAAACTGATGTATTTCCCAAAAAGTGTTGTGATGGAAAGCAACAATAAGATGGGAAAATAAACTAATGAAGAATTAAAAAAAAAAAAAAAAAAAAGGGTGGGGTATTGATTAAATTTGTAAAACTTAATACTATTATAGCTACTACTACTTGGCAGCAAACAAACAACATGGTTTGGAGAAAATCAGATACAGAAAAATCTATACTAAATATGAATTTTGCCTGCTGATGAGTTTCTGAGGCCAAATCTGTAAAGTGTCATCCATGTTAGATTTTTTTTAAAATACAGGATGTGAATTCATATCTTATCAAAAGCTTGTTTTTTTTTGTTCTTGTTGATCTTGCTTGCTTAAGTCATTATGCAAACTGAGCATTGTAATAAAAGGCAACAATATTAAGATGAAAGATAAACTAGTTGAAATTTAAAAAGGAAATTCTTAATCTTAGACAATTTAAAACTGCACAAAAAATAATTTAAATATTTGAATAATATAGAACAAAAGAATGTTTTCTGAAGTCTTCAGTTAAAATATTTTCATTACTCCAACATACTGTTTTTTCTGATTTATTCATTGATATTTTTCTGTTGTGTGTCTGAAATTATTTCATAGATGTGCCAGGCCAGCTAAACACATACTTTTGTTGACAACTAACTCTAACAATAACAATTGGTTGTAGAGGAGCACATGCTATTGTATCAGCCTGATAAAATATATCACCTGCTACGTAGCAGTTGCATGCTTCAAAATGAGTGATATATTTTGTGATTGTTCATTGATGGATGATCAAATTTCGATACTATAATAACCAGGCATTCTTGACTTTAAGGACAGTGTTGAGGTTGGGTGGGGTTTATGTGATCAGTGAATTTAGTTCCAATAATGACTCGAACTTTGGCAGCCCTGGCAGTAGGCCAAGTGCCATAAGGCAAGAATATGCAGCTATATTTACAACAATATAATTTGCATTTTTCTTCAATTTCAATGAAATGACTGAAACCAGATATTTTTAAAGAATTAATGAATTCATTTTTAATCTGACATTTTTATTACTCCAAGCATTATTTTTAGTGGATGCCCATGTTTGAAATAGACGTATATTTATGCATAAAAATGC